CTAAGGATTTAGGTCCAGATTATATTACTCACGTTTTCCTTGTTGAAGGAGATAGAGAAAATAACGTGGTAAATAAATACCCCATAGTATTAAATTTAGAAGACGATCCTAAATGTTTTAGTGATGCTATGTCTTCTAGAGATGCTTCTTTTTGGAAAGAAGCTGTAAATGATGAAATGGACTCAATTATGTCCAACAATACTTGGGTGTTAGTTGATTTACCGAAAGGATCCAAGCCTATTGGATATAAATGGGTCTTTAGGAGGAAATACAATTCTGATGGTTCTATCCAAACTTTTAAGGCTAGATTGGTGGCCAAGGGGTATAAACAAAAGGAAGGAATAGATTATTTTGATACGTATGCTCCTGTTGCACGTATAACTTCTATTCGAATTCTTTTTGCTATAGCTTCCATTTATGATCTTTGTGTTCATCAAATGGATGTCAAGACTGCTTTCTTGAATGGAGACTTAAATGAAGAAATTTACATGGAACAACCAGAGGGTTTCGTTCTTCCTGGAAATGAAAGGAAAGTATGTAAATTGACTAAGTCTCTTTACGGACTTAAGCATGCTCCTAAGCAGTGGCATGAAAAATTTGATTCAGTCATATTATCTAATGGTTTCATTCACAATAGTGCTGATAAGTGTATATACTCTAAATTCACTAAAGACTATGGTGTCTTAGTGTGCTTATATGTTGATGATATGCTTATCTTTGGAACAAATATGACTGGAATTATTGAGACTAAGAAGTATCTAACTTCCATGTTTAAAATGAAAGACTTGGGTGAAGTAGATACTATCTTAGGTATTAAAGTTAAAAAACATAGTGGAGGTTATTCTTTGAGCCAATGCGAATACATTGAAAAAATGTTAAATAAATTTCAATATCTTGGTTTCAAGGACATAAGTACTCCATTTGATTCTAGTATTAAATTAAATTATAATACTGGTAGGGCTGTAGCACAACTTGAATATGCGAGTGCTATAGGGTCTTTAATGTATGCGATGCATTGTACTAGACCTGATGTTGCTTATTCTGTGTGCAAGTTGAGTAGGTACACTAGTAATCCAAATATGGAACACTGGAAAGCTATTACTAGAATTTTTGGTTATCTTAAGAGAACTAAAAATTTAGGCTTGTTCTATAATAATTATCCAGCTGTATTAGAAGGATACACTGATGCTAGTTGGATTACAAGTGTGGGTGATAAATATTCCACTTCAGGATGGGTTTTCACTCTAGGTGGAGGTCTTTCTTGGGCGAGCAAGAAACAGACATGTATAACTCACTCAACTATGGAGTCAGAATTTGTTGCTTTAGCGGCAATTGGGAAAGAGGCTGAGTGGATTAGGAATTTGTTGTTGGATATCAAATTATGGCCTAGTCCTATACCTCCTATTTCTATCCATTGTGATAGTCAGGCTACTTTGGCAAGAGCTTATAGTAGTACCTATAATGGGAAGTCTATACATATTAGCCTAAGGCATTATTTTGTGAGACAATTGATTAAAGATGGTACCATAACAATTGTCTACGTGAGGTCAAGTAATAATTTGGCTGATCTTTTGACAAAGGCATTACCAAGAGATATGGTAAAAATGACCTCACAAGAAATGGGGCTGAAACCCTTTAATTAAAATCACCAGTAATGGTATCCCAACCTTTTTCTAGAACATCACTAGTTAGAAGGTTTAATGGGTAAGAACAGGTTCTGAATGTGATTGTTTGATGCGACGCTAGCCCTAATATGAGAAGTTAGTATCGTCATTACGTTTTAGAGGATGAATTGAATTCTTAATGAAGTATAGTACAAACTTGTAATGTGTTAATAGTAACAGAAACACATGATAGATACTTTACCTATATGAGCTTAGGAGTGGTGCCGCTTCTTACGAAAGTTTGGGTTACTTTCTAGAGAGCTCATGAAACAGGATCAAGCACAAGGCCATAATAGTGCGGAGTAATATAGAACTTCTCGCTGAAACAAGAGGTTAGTATATGTGCGGTATGTCCGATTCTATTATTTAAAAGTACAAGTTTAAAGCCGAGCTACTTGTCACTTTGATAGAGTTTTGAGATACTTGCACTAAGTAAAGGTTTAACTCGAAAGAGACCTTTATGCATGTATATTAATCTCACCGAAGTCTTGGCTGTATGGTTTTTAAAAAAAATTTTAAATTTTCTTTTTTAAATCTTTGTTTTACAAACAAAGTGGGGGATTGTTGGATGTTTGTTTGTAAAACAAACAAAACAATCTTTTCCTTTGTCCCACATAGGAAAGTTTTGGGTAAGTGGGCCATTTTATAACGTGAGTGTCTTGCTTACTCCTAGAGTGAAGACAATGGGGTGTGTGCTAGTCCACACAATACCCGCGTGCGGTGCGCGAATAATTGAGCGATTTTGGCGCGATTATTAGGCGCACTTAGCACTTTGCACGCTTGCGCGGCCGCGGTTTAATTAGCTCTAATCCCTTTATTTTTTATTTTATTTCGTAAGGTTATCTCCTTAATCTTTATTAGTTGAAAGGTTGCATTTTGTTTATTAAATAATTTTCGAAATTATGAAAATTCGGAATTTTATTTATATATATTTTTTATTTTATTTTATTCCGAATTTTACATGTGTCTTTTCAAGACAACTTTCGGAGATTATACTTGTTCGATTTTCAACCTTTTCCGAAAGGTTGCATTTGTTCAGTTTGCAACTTCTTCCGAAGGAATATCTTTGTTAGCTTTGCAACCTTTCGTGAAGAGTTGCCTATGAAGACCGATTTCTATATATGTCAGTTTTTGGCAAGAAGGAAATTCATTCAATTTTTCAAGTCTTCTTTCGAAAAACTACAGCCACCATTTTCAATTGTTTCCTAGAGAGATCACGGAGAAATACTAGAATTACTATCTAGTATTCTCAATTTGAGACTTTGTTGTATCCTGGAGGATTTTGCGGTGACCATTAGCAGCATTGTGGGGCAAATAAATCCTTAAGGAAAGGGATATCACGCCTCAAAGTCCGACTTGATTTTTCTCTTGATTCGAAGCCATTCAAAATTTTACAACAGGTCCAAGAAACACGACAAGAAATACTCCAGACCTAATACAGTACTATGCAAAGCGATAATATAATCTAAGATCATAAGTTCCAATGGACCATGTTAAAGGACATTGGGCTGCGTACCCCCCTTAATTAAAAATAAATTAAGTCCCTCACGTTTTTGTGATTGTTTGTGGATCATATCTATGCCAAAGTCTTGCTTTTATTTCTTTCTATCATTAAAACAACGTGATACCTATACATGCGAAAAAAGAAAAAAAAAAGGAAGAAGAAGAAGAAGCCAAATTTATCTTTTCCTCCTTGACTATCGCCCATTGTACGTCATTTTTGCTCGTCTTTGAATTCTGAACGATTTATTGGATTTAACTTTGGGAAATTTCGTAGTTTTCTTATGGGAAAGTAATTTCGCACAGCGAAATGGTGCGGATGGCAGATTCATTTGTTTTCGCATAAATACAATTTTTTTGGGAAAATACATTTTTTTATCTTTCTAGTATTGGGGGCGGTAACTTTCTATAATTATTCTTCATTTGGTTACAATTTCAATCTTTATACTACATCTTGGTGACAATTTGAGTCTTTCCATCAATTTTTTTTTCAAATATTTCCGAAGGTCAATGTCCGTAATATGAGAGAAGAGTGACAAGTATAGTGAAGCTTGCTTGTGTCGATAGATGTAGAAGCTACGAGGGGAAGTCGTATAAGGAGAATCAAGAATTCAACTTTGTCCTCTTCTCCTACTTATCTTTTCCAGCTCTAACAGCCGAAATTAGGCTGCGAAATTAGGCTGGAATCCACATTGCAATCTTTGATATGTTGACAAACATATATAGAAGATATAGGACCAAAGCACAACTCCTTACTTATTCGCGGAAAAAGCAAAAGTTTCATCGAACAACCAATCCACCTCCTTCTTGATTATTTATACCTAATCCGTCCGTCACAAATGCGAATTACCTTACGGTCAAACCATCATAAAAATGCATGATAAGTAGGTTCCTTTGCGTTAGGCAAATTTAAGGTGATCAAGCAAATTAAGAACGCAAAAACAAAATTGATTTACATTGGACATATCAACTCAGTTGTTATCAAGTCACAGACAACCAAAGAAATTTAGTGAGAGAGGGTCGTGATTACTTAGAAAAATTTAAAAATTGTTTGGATTAACTTTTACTTTTTACATTTTATTTAATTCAAGTACTATGGCACAAGCGATTTGATTTTTCTAAATCTGCAACATTTTAAACTTTCACGAAATGCGAATGTGGACACGTAAGTTCACACATAAATTTTTCATGATTTTGGAAATTTGAATGATATTTTGAAATTTTATGGGAAAAGCAAGAACGACTTTTTGCTTCCACTCCAGAAAATCGGATGCATTAGCTTCCACTTTATTTACGCATAGCGGGCAATCAATCGGACTCTTGAAGAATAGCATGCGGGCTTAATTGAAAGGATTTAAAGATTGTGACCTTTAATTGATGTCAATTATGTGGAAAAATTGTCCAAAAAATCATAAACCTATTGTACGGCGGCCAATTCAATTCTAAGCCTTTTGATTATGACAATTTAGTCATAAATCTATGGTACGACGGTTAATTCAGTCTTAAACATTTTCATGATTTGCTAATTTATTCCTAAAACTTTTAAGGATTTGCCAATGTAGTCCTTCGGCAATTTCTGACCAAAATTATCCGAAAGGACTAGATTGGCAAAGCGTTAAAAGGTTTAGGATTAAATTGGCACAGTTGAAATGTTTGGGACTAAATTGTCTGTCGTACAATAAGTTTAGGACTAAATTAGTACAATTGAAATATTTAGGACTGTATTGGCCGCCGTACAATAGGTTCGGGACTTTTTGGACAACTATCCCTCGATTCTGTTCCGTTGCGAACTCAAATGATATCTTTCAATGTAGAATAAAACCACTGTAAGAAAGAAAATAAAACTGAAGCAATCTCTATTATTGTTTCAAGACCATATTTATTTCACGACATTAAAGTAAACACAAGAACAGACGCATAACTTAATACCACTAGCACAACTCAATCACACCACTCCACTTTTGCACCAGGAACCTTTATTATTGTACTGCTAAGTCATAAAGCAGCAAACTTATTGGTGATAGCTGATCACACAATTATATTTATATGTTGAGACTTGGGACTATTCGTTCTGATCATCTTCTGGTGGAGGTGGGATGTACGCATCGGCCAAGCTCCAGCTTCCATCGTTCCCATTCTGGACCATGTTCTTGTTCTTGGCCACCCACCACTGCGCCGGAATTTTGCAGTCATCATTCAGAGCATCCCATCCCTTGTTCACCAGCGCAATCCCGCGTCGGCTACCGAGGTTGAATTTCTCGCTATCGATCCCTTGTGTCCCCGCGACTAAGTGCAGGTATGTCTCCAACATATGCCCGGTTGCCACGGCACCGGTCAGACCGCTTTTGAGAGGCCTCAGGTACGGGGACTTGCGCGAGTCGACCATCAGCTGTTCTCCGACGTGGTAATATCTGATTGGAGGGAGGAAGGGAACGATATCAATGGCGTTGGTCACGCGAAGGGCGCGGAGCTTCTCGAACGACAAGAACTTCTTTCGGAAGTTCTCGTCCCCGACCTTGGGGCTGGCGAAGGGGAATGCAGTCACCAGACAGGCTTTCTCGGGGTGGCCGGTGGGCACGTTGTAGCCATTGGTCACGATGTCCAGCGCATTGATCGTTGCCAAAGCCGCGCCTAGGCTGTGGCCGACCACTGTTATGCTGATGGTCTCATTTTTGCTGGCATAGTAATCCACTTGCTTCCGGACCTCCCTTAGAACCTGACCAAAGTAGTCCATCAATACCAGTATTAATTTGACAATGTAGTCGAAACATCACGTGCTACATCTTATCATATTTTTAGATTTATATAAAAAAAGTGAAGGCAATTTGGAGCTTTTTTTTTTTGATCGAAAATTTGGAGCTTATTCGGAGGTAAATTAGCAAGAGCAATCTTTAAATCGAGTGAAAGTTTCATACCTGGTCTCTGGTACTAAGCTTTGTGTACGGATTTAAAATATAGTTCTTTGTATACAAAGCGTAAAAGCCAGAGTGAATCTTAGTATCGGTGTCATCCTGGAAAATGTCAGTTGCCGGGACCAAATCATCTTGAATATCTGCCCAGGACTCCAGGAGATCCGCTGTTCCTCTCCAAGCGACCAAAATATCCCTTCTCCCTAAATTCTTGGTCCCCTCGTCGGTGCTCACCGCGACATACCCGATCCAAGACTGGTCTGGATCCTCCGGCGGGTAATTGAGCACCTTGGACAGCACGTAGAAGTACTGGGTCACCTCGTACCTGAACGGGTTGTTGGCCGTCTCGAGACCCACTTCAGAGAAGAGCTTGTCCATCGGGAACAGGGGCAGGCCGTAGCCCTCCGACTCCGTCTGGCCGTTGTACACGTCGCCGATGGCTTGGACTCGTTCTCCGTAGTGTATGAGGTACATCCGGAGATCCTCGTCGAGAGGATCCAACATGTCCTTCCAGTTGGTCTCGCCGCTGAGCTCAGTCCATGGCCTTGAGCTGTTGCCTCCCATGGTATGTATTTCTCTCTCTCTCTCTGCCTAAATTATCGCTGATAATATTCGTTCTCTAGATGGGAAGGCTTGTGGAGACGCCATCTTTCTTCAATGCAATTTATAGACTCCACCTTTTCACTGTGCCATGCACGATCAGATTACGTGTCGAGGGTTTCTCTTTTTTTTTTTAATTGCCATGATAAGTTACGTGATAGAGTTGCTTTTGTGCATTATCTAGCACGAGAAAAACTCCCCTGATTATATATTAGAAAATAGCCAATTTTGAGGTGAATCTTCCACGTTTTTTTTACATTCTGCACTACGGACCGAATGGATGAGAGGGACCGTGCATATCTTCAGCAGATAAGAATGTTGATTTCCAAGTCTCGGAAGACATCTCTTGCTAGCATAGAACGCTACAAGCTCGAAACTAAATGTCGAAGATTTTGTGCTTCCAGTTTGCATGCCTATCTTTCGTAAGGAATGATACATGTGCTAAGCCAATATTGTTTTCTTAATGATGGGTAATGAGATATTGATGACTGGAATGAACAATCCACTTTGTATTGGGTCTCGCTCTTCACATAACTAATTAAGTTATATCTTGCCGCGTGATTTTAGTAAAGAACTTCTGGTGAGTGCACCATATACACACGGTTAAAAACATTAATGGATGTGATCAAACGAGTGAATAGACACCCCATTTTCAATAGAAGGCAAATGCTTGTTACACTAATTAATTTTTCCAAAACTGTTTTGAGTAAGTGAATGTGGCAATTCTCTATTGGATATTGAAAGAAGTCAATGACACGATACATGCGTCCTACTCATTTCAAAATCCAATTAAAACTGTCCGCATTATTTAGTAAGTAAATCTACTTGAATTAGAAAACTTTCTTTTTTGAGCTCAAAACTCGAGACATATTTTAACATGCATCCTGAGAAAGTGATTGTTTTACTCTTATAGCCTAATTTTGGCCATCGTGAGCCAAAACTCAAAGCTGATTCGACAGCGTGTGACAATTGAATTTGTGTCATATTGCCCATTTATATTTGCATTTTCCAACCATTGAAACTTGTTTCGATAAAAAATAAAAAAAAAATCATTGAAACTTATTCAACATGCAAAATGTGCACCGTCCGTGAACCATCCACCCGTCGTATGAACAATGCTCTTCAGTACTGCTACAATACTACCACTGTAACTAGCAATCTCTACGAAGAGGAGATCCAATCATGAAGAATACAAGTCTAGGAATAAAAAGGGCGGCAGAGAAAAAGTTAGACACAGAAATTCTAGAATTAATACCATGAAAGAGCTCAAAGTAGTACACATGCGACAAATTTATCTCAAATTAATTTTTGAGTCACCAAAAACCCTTAAAATAATACACCCCTGACAAAATTTATCCAAAATTAATTTTTGGGTCACCAAAAATCTCAAACTGGTACACTCGTGACATATTTACTCTCCGTTAACTTCTGTCAAATTATCCCTGAAAATGCTAAACTGGATGACATATAGCACTAACTCAATTGACATTGCAAGTTCACGAGAAAATCCATATCAATTTGAAGTAAATTTGTCATATATATATATATATATATATATATATATATATATATATATATATAAGTTTGGAGTTTTTAATGAGCCAAAAGTTAGTTTGTCACAAGTGTATCAGTTTGAGGTTTTTGGTAATCAAAAAATTAGTTTAGGGCAAATTTATCTCAGGTGTACCAGTTTAGATTTTTTCGTGGTATTAACCCAAAATTCTTAGCTCCTGATGAGAATGTTTAGGGTTTTCTTATTACGTAAAATTCTTGTGAAACACATGTGCCTTTGCTCAAGCATTATTGAGTGATATTGTACTTGGGACGGTGGATAGTGAGATCTTGTTTTTAATTCTCACTTGCAATTCCTATTACTTTTTATTTAGTGCCCTACGCACTACGCTGTCCAATGTCCTTCAAAGTAGGCTTTAAGTATTCATCGTCCAAATTGATGGCTACCCTTCAATCATCCACTTTGCTTCGCATTTTTACATAATTGATCCTTTCAATTTGCCCCATACATTAATGATCCAATGAAAGAGTGGGCAAGCAAATGGAGTTATTTCTGGGTATCTTTGGTTCAGTTTTGGTGTCGCGACCATCCTATAGGTGAACCACCAAGGGAAAGTTAATAGATTACTAAGCCAAAGACTTAACGCGGACTCTCTCAAATCCATACCGATCACAATATTTAAGTTTTGATTTAACTAATTAAACATGCAAATCAATTCAATTTAAAGTCGCCACAAATCTATTACAGGTCGATTGGAAACCCAAGTAAAATGTGAGATAACATTTTACTTCTGCGAATAAGAGATTTATAGATACGGGGACATGATTACACTAAATAAATCTGACACATTTTCAATACATTTTCTCTTTATTTCAAAAATGTTTTGCAAGCAGTCTTGACTAATTTTAATCTTAAACCACTAACATGTGATGGTGATCATACGGGTGCGTAGACAGTAATTTAGCACTCAATAAATCAATGCAGTAAATAAATTGCTCAAAGGAATGAAAGAACCTCGATGTGCTAAGCAAATCAAAAGCAAAGCCCCATTATGTCCAATGCATTAAGTGTTCTGCAAATTGTTAACTAGAAACCAAGTAAGGAAAAAGTACAAAAAAAGTCCTAAACCTATTGCAATTATAACAATCTATCATTAAATCTTTCAATTGGACCAATTTAGTCCTAAACATTTTCCCATTGATACCAATTCAGTCCATCTAGTCAATTTAAGCTGGAAAGTGCTAACGTGGACACCAGCCATCCTACATGGCACGGTCGGCAGACGATTGGCGCTAACGTGGACATTTTTAATAATATTTTGATAATTTTTTTTAATTTTTTCAAAAATTTTTTGTTTTTTTATTTCCTTCTCTTCCTTTAACCTGTGGCCAGTACTCGACCATGGCCGACGACTGGCCACGGGCGAGGGCTCAACCCTCACAACTTTGGCGAAGGCCACCCTTGCGGCCTTTGGCGAGGGCCACGACACCCTTGCCGGCCCTCGCCTGTTGCCGCTCACTAGCCATGGCCGAGTATTGGCCACGGGCCAAAGGAAAGAGAAAAAAAGAAAGGAAAAAATGAAAAAGAAAAAAAAGGGAAAAAATGGTAAAATTTCAAAATATTATTAAAAATGTCCATGTCAATGCCGGCTGTGCAACACAGAACGGTCGGCGTCCACGTCAACAATTTCTAGACTAAGGCTCCGTTCGTTTGGCGGAAAATATTCTCCTTTTGGAAAATATTTTCCGGAAGTCATTTTCCTGGAAAATGTTTTCCGAACATAATTTTCCGGTGTTCGGCGACCAATATGAAAAAGTTTCGAAAAATATTTTCATGGCGATAAGCGGCCGGGCGAGTGGTCGTCGGCGGCGGGGCGCGCGGCGGGCGGCGGGCGGCCGGCGCACCGGCGGCGGGCGGCCAACGGCGGCGGCGGGCGGCGGCCGGCGGCCAACGGTGGTGACCGGCGATCAACTCCTCTCCCACGGAAAATATTTTCCCTCCCATGGGCAATTTTGTCTTCAATTTGGGGGAAAATGATTTCCTCTTTGTGAAAAGAGGAAATCATTTTCCTCAAAACAATGAAGGATTTGGGGTGGGGAAGGAAAATGTTTTCCCACGGAAAACATTTTCCGCCCCCGAACACCGGAAAACGCGGAAAATATTTTCCGGAAAAATATTTTTCCGCAAACGAACACAGCCTAAGTTGGATGGATTGAATTGGTGCCAATGTGAAAAGGTTTCGGAATAAATTAGTCCAATTGAAGAGTTTGGGAATGAATTGATACCAATACAATAGGTTTATGACTTTTTGGTAATTTTCCCAAACAAGCAATGTATGCATGACCCGAACATAATTTCTAAATGCATTATCTAGTAAATTCTTTTTGGGTTTTTCTTGTTTAACATGAACATGATTTAATCTAAATAACATGACTATGTGAATTCTAATCTAAGCATGCATTAATGAACTAACATGAAATCTAAATGATATGTATGCTATGCAACCTATATGCAATTCTAATGACATGAAGTAGGATTAAATTTGAATTAACCCTATTATTTAACTACATATGACACTAATTTTGTGTTTTTCTTTTTAATAAATAAGAGACTATATGCAATGCATCAAAGAAGATTACTAATCTGTATGACATGATCCTAAACATGTGATTACTAAATGACGTATATATTATGAAACTAATTATATATGAGGTATGCATGTTATATTTTTATGATTTTCATTTAAAGCTAAATTAGGAAACTATATGATGACCTAATTTAAACTAGGAAATAATTTATATAAATCTTAATCTAAATTAGGTAATTTCCTAAATTACTACATGGTTCCTAAATATGCAATTCTAAATTTGGAAACTAAGTGGATGCAATCTATCCTAAATGTAATGCAATTTTTTGTATTTTTTTTTTATAAATCAAACTGTCTCCTAATTTAATGCATTAATATAAACCCACATAATTAAATTCTCGTCAAATCTAAATGGAAACAAAGGTAATCGAGGATATGATCTTAGGTCTTAAAGATCAAAACTCCAATTATATGGATGACCAGAAAGGGGAAATTTCGTATTTATGATTGGCCTAAAATCTTCACCAAATCAAGTCAGAATCTTAATACTTATAATTTAGGAAATTTAATATTGAAATTGAGAATTGTTTTAGGGAAATTACCTAAATTGAGAGCCCAACTTCAAATGGCAACCGGCTAAGGGGTATCCACGGCAGCAATCAGCAAGGCCAAGAAAAAAAGTAGGCAATAACTTCGACGAAGAGGACCGACGATGATGGACAGGCGGTGGCAAGAAGTCCAATAGGGGCTAAGGCATCGAGTGGCAACAAGTGATCATGCTGGGACAGCGGGACTTGCTATGGCACGGCAAAAGGCGGCAAACGGCAACGTTAGGGATTGTGAACATCACAAGGGGATCTCTAGATCTTTGATGCTCAATTCCTTTGGTGAAGTTGAAGAATTGGATGTCGTAAAGGTCTCCTCAAAATTTCAACGCATTATGCTCGTCAGACTCTCTAGCAATCCGATCAGTCCAATTTTCTCCATACTCTCCACAAAATTTGAGCACAATCCAATGGTTAACGAATGTATACTCGTCGATTTCGTGAAACTGCAGGCTGGATTTTTTTTGGAGGATAGCGGGAGAGACAGAGCTCGCGTGTATTATTTATTTTTGTGCTCTCTTGTGTCCTTTTTCTTTTTAATTGTTTATTGCCAACCTCCCTTTGTGAACCACTTTTAATGGGTTTATATAGGGTTAAGACCAGAGTTGTCTTGCAAGAATCAAGGATATCTTTGTTTCCTATTTTAGGTTATGTGATCGTTCTTACCGGGAAATTAGAGTATAAGCTCTTTCTTATCTCCCTATAATCAAACTTTGACAATATCAAAAGCTTAATTATCCCCAAGTTTACTTCAAGAAACCAATATTTCCCAATTTGAGATACCACATGGTCTGGGCACATGTATATTCAGCCACTTAGAGGAATTATGGGCTTGTTCAAATTTTGCGCTTCTGCGGGCTTAGTCAAGATAATTCAATTAAGTTCAAAGTTTCACTTCGTAAGTCAGTCCAATTATAATGCAGTTTATGTGGGCTGATAACTAACGAAAAATATTCCTAATATGCCAATGCAAGTTAAATATATTTTTGTTTAGGGGTTGGTGTCGAGCTCTAATTTTCTATTCCATAAATAACTAAATGGCTTGCCAAAATTTAGGTATCAATATTTGGCAAAGAAGGGAGGGCAAATTCCATGTTAATTTGGAAATGAAATCAAAGGGACATGACCAGCCAAGCATGTCATGAACCAAGAGGAATTTCGGCCACACCCATAGGACATCACCTTCAGAAGTCGAGGAAAGAGCTCGAGTGAAGGCTAGAAGTTCCAGTCAGCATAAGCAAGCTTGAATTTCTGAATTCGGTGGTCAAAGAAAGTCAAAAAGGAGACATGAGAAAATGAAGGGTATCATTTATGATATGCAAGAGCATTCATGCATGGGCATAATGAGAAGCGTGGGCTCAGCTGGTATCAAATGAAGAGACGTTTTTCTTGAGGAGGTGAACGAATGAACGGACAAGGAAGAACGCGTAAGAGGGCGATGGAAAAGGGTGTGTGCGCATGTGAAGAAAAACGAAAAGAAGAGAAAAGGTGAAGCATGTGACAGACAAAAAGAAAGCAAGGTGCAGAGGCAATATTTCTTCAGCTACGAATCGGAAATTTTCGGTAGAGCAGGTCAACATTCACGGCTGAAGGGAGAGGAAGAAACAGCAGCAAGCCAGCAGAAGGCAAGAACACATTTAGCTAAGCATGGGCAGAACGAGATAGAAGAAGACAGAGAGCCGGATCTCTCTTCTCGGCTGGATGGACTTCAGGGAGCACTTCCTCTATTTTGTTATTTGTTAAAAGGAGACTGAAGGTGAGTTTTAAAGGGGGGACTTTAGGCTGAAAAAGAGAGGAGAGAAAATGAGGATTCATTTGAATACATAGATACACGTTCACGATTGCTCATACATCAATTTTCAAACTTTAGGCAAGGTCAGTACGCTCTATTACCCCGGCATTCTTGAAGCTTTGCTTGGTGGAGACTCAGCAGCCCTCCCGCTGTAGGATGTAGCAGCCGCATCACTGAGGAGTAATGGCAGTTTACCTGAGAAAAAGTCCCCATCTGGTCTAGCCTTCAATTCCAAGCATTACGACAATCGGGAACATAAAATGCCCCGCCAGCTCATCAAGAGTGTCCTCCATTATGTAGCAGAGGAGCTCCTGCTTTCCACAGCTTCCAGTTGCATAACTAGGAAACACTATAGACTTTGACTACATTGGTTGTGTCACGGACTGTTGCGGAAGCCAAGCGATCGAATAATAAAATTGACAAAATAAAGAAAATAAATCGGACACCAGATTTACGTGGTTCGGTCGTAGTGACCGATATCCACAGGGAGAGCAGTACGAAATTCCGCTATAGATCAAGCGATATAATGAAAATTACAACCACACTTGAGTCGGTCAAACACTTTAAGTGTTTCCCCATCCTCAATTACACCCAATAACTCACGCAATATTTAGTCTCATAATTCCTTACGAAATAATCTCTCAATTTCACGATGGAATTGTACACAAATCTTACCCTACTCACACTTGAATTCTTAGTGTAATTCCACGAACAAAATCACGAACTCAATGCCAAGCACCCAGCACCTATGAATGACCCACGGCACTCAAAGAGGAAACGGCACTTCAAGAGCACTTCTTCGTCAACAACGACGCACCCCCTCTGTGCACCCAAAAGCAGAATAGCCCGTATTTATGCTTAGGGTCCACGGTCAATATTTCTCCAGCCCGTATTTATCCTTTTCCGAATCCAACTTTCTCTGACACACTTGGCGAGAAGTCCACAATTTCCTCTTTCAGTGGCCGAGTCGAAGAAGAAGACTCACTTAGACTTTCCTTTTTCAATGGACGAAGACTCCAACTCACATTCGGAAAACTAATTTCCGAAACTCGCCTTGGATTCTTTTTTTTTTTTTATTTCTAAAATTCAGATTTTCGCTTCGGGCTCAAACTCGAGACATATTTTAACACGGACAATGAGGTTCTCAGTCACAGCAGGAGTCGTGCACAGCTAATTCACCTGAACGTATAAAATGCTGTGATTTAGAATGACCGAAGGAAATAAATATGTATGTCAAAGAGATCATGAAGATAGATGCAGGAGAAATAACTTACTTTTCTGCTTAGATCGATGTTCAGATGTAAAAGATCACGAAGATCACCTTGGCTGCTACTTTGGTCCATATCAATGCACTTTGTTGAGAAATATTGTGAGTATTAAGGGTAGAATAGTAATCTAGTTTGTGAGTAGGGTTAAGCACGTATATATATTTGTAACCCTATAATCACAATCAATATAAGAAATTCTATTCTCTCTTTTCATGGTATCAGAGCCCCACACACAAAAAAAAAAAAAAACCTATTCAAACCTAGCCGCCAGATTGCCGGAAACTACTGTTCCGTCACCGGTGAAGTCCCCCTCCCGCCGCCGAGTGGCGGCACCCAAACTCCGGCGACTCTGTCGCCGATCCTTAACAACCTCGTTGCTGACCTTTAGCGACCCAGATCTGGTCGTGCCTTAGTGATTCAAGCCTCGGCGACCCACACGTAGCCGTCGCCGATCCCCGGCGATTCACGACGAGCCGTCGCCGACCCCTCCGACGACCCACACGTAGCCGTCGCCGAGCCCCGGCGATTCACGACGAGCTGTCGCCGACCACTGGCGACCCACGAGTAGCCATCGTCGAGCCCCAACGACTCAGATCTGGCAACGTTCGAGTCTCCCGGCGTCGCCTAACTCTGTGATTGCTGTCGCTCAACCTTGGTGACCAGATCTAGCACTGGATAATCCATTCCGACGTCACTGAACCTAGCTCACTTCAAATCCGGCGATGTCCGACCGAGATTGAACCTGAATACGCAAGGAAATCTCGTCTTCTCCATAAATATCACTGTTGCTTGGATTTTATGGCTCCTTCAGAGGATAAAGTTGCTGCTCCTCTCTTTGAAAGTGACGTATTCTTCGTTTTCCATTGAAATTCTTTTTGCTGCTGACTTAAGTATTTATGTGCGCGATAACAGTGAGGATAAGCTTGCTGGTGGTTTGGTAATTTATCTTATTACCCACTGATAGATGGAATGATTTTATGAAGTGTCGGTGAACTGCTGGTGGCAATTGGATTGAGTCCTTCTATGTTCAGAATTACTTGTATATCTGATTAGATTACTGAATTGAAGTACTGGTTACTGTGAAGTTAATTTTTTGGGCTCAATCACACTATTTCTTTCACTAATAGCGAACAATGGATTGACGTCAGGATCAGGATCCCCTTTTGGTCATTTTCAATTAACATTTGTTAAGTTGGATGGAACTAATTATCCATCCTGGTCTAAAGCTGTTGAGGTCTATCTTACTGCCACCAGGCAACTTGACTATCTCACATCTACGGTACCGTCCGACAAGAGTAAAACTGCTGATTGGGTTGCAGGAGATGCGATGATTCGGACTCTATTGTGGAATAGCATGGATCCTAAGGTCAGTCCTCACTTTATCCAGTGTGACTCTGCTAAGGCAGTTTGGGATAAATGTGCATTACTCTATTCGGGGCAAAATAATATGATGCGAGTATGTGACACGTGGGAAAAGTTGTTTGATATTCAGCGCGGAGATCAATCTTTATCCGATCATTATGCTCGGTTCACGACCCTTTGCCAGCGACTGGATACTTATCTTCCTGCCTCGAATGATCCAGATGTTTTGGCCAAACGCCAAGAGGATTTGAGGGTGATATTATATCTTAAATCATTGGGGCTCGAGTATTCATCTCTCCGTCAACATATTACATCTCAGAGTTCTCTTCCTACAGTGGATGAAGTCTTCTCCCAGGCTCTCCGTTCCACAATTCCTGAGAAGATTTCTTCCACGCCGGCTGTGGAGATGAGTGCTATGCTTTCCCATGGTCCTAGCCGATGTGGAGGTCGAGGTCGTGGTTACCGAGGTCGTGGGCGCGGTTTTGTTCATAGTGGAGGTCGTGGAGGCCGTGATGGAGGAGTTGGTACTCGTGGTACCATGAATTTTGGGAATAGTCGTGGCTCACGCTATTGCCATCATTGTCAAAGAGCTGGACATACAGAAGCTTATTGCTATACACTTCACCCAGAACTCAGACCACCCCTGGCTGCATATGCAGAAGTTGAGGATTCTCTTGTTCCTCCCTCAACAGGTCCACCAAGTTCGACTAATGTGAAGGATACAGGCGATTCAGTTACATTAACACGTGCTGAGTATGATACATTGGTTCGCTCTCAACAGGTGACAGGATCTTCAGCTCCTACTGCAACTCTAGCACAAACCTCCAAAGGTAGTTCATCTTGTTTGTTGTCTGCAGCATCTGACTCCTGGGTTATAGACTCTGGAGCTACCAATCATATGACTGGTAACTCTAACCTACTGTCTTCATTTCACTCTACATCTCCTTTATTATCAAACTCAGTTACATTAGCAAATGGCTCACAATCTCAGATTACTGGTACATGAATTGCACATTTGAGTCCCTCACTTTCTTTGTCATCTGTTCTTCACCTATCAAAATCTCCTTATAATTTGATTTCCGTTAGTTTGTTAACTAAAGAACTAAATTGTTCTGTAACCTTTTCCTCTTCTCGTTGTGTCTTTCAGGATCTGAGGACTGGACAGATGATTGGTGGGGGACATGAATCAAATGGCCTGTACTATCTTGATAAGAAGGTGTTAGCTCCTGTAGCTGTAAAGCGTACATCCACTGATGTATACCGAATGCATTGTCGTGCTGGTCATCCACCACCGAACATACTTCGGCGTCTATTTCCTGAGTCTGAGTCTGTGAGTTCCTTTCAGTGTGAAGCGTGTCAGTTTGGTAAACATCATAGAACTTCTTTTCCTTCCCGTATTCAGAGTCATGTGTCTAGTCCATTTGAACTGGTTCACTCAGATGTATGGGGTCCGTGTCGTGTGTCTGATGTCGTTGGATTCAGATATTTTGTTACATTCGTGGATGATTTTTCCCGAATGACTTGGTTATTCCTAATAAAAGACCATACAGAGATTTTTCATTGCTTTCAATTGTTCTATTTTGAAGTATTGAATCAATATAATATCTCTGTCAAATATTTAAGGTCCGATAATGCTAGAGAATATCTTGCTGCAACTTCTGGTTTCCAGCCATTTCTTGAGTCCCATGGTATTATTCATCAGACTTCTTGCTCATACACTCCCCAGCAAAATGGTGTAGCCGAACGTAAAAATCGGCATCTTCTTGATGTTGCCCGTTGCCTTATGTTTCATATGCATCTACCTAAAAAATTTTGGGGCCATGCTGTTCTCACAACATGTTATTTAATTAATAGGCTTCCAACTTCTGTTCTTCAGGGGGAGACACCATTCTCTATTTTACATCCAAATCGTCCTCTCTTTTCATTACCTCTTCGGGTCTTCGGGTGTGTCTGTTTTGTACATTGTCTTACTCCAGGTCTTGATAAACTGGATCCTCGTGCTGAAAAATGTGTCTTTGTGGGGTACTCTAGGACTCAGAAGGGATACAGATGTTATAGTCCTACTCGCCGTCGTATGTTCGTGTCCGCAGATGTAACATTCTTTGAAGATCAGTCATATTTTTCTTCTTCGGTGGTCCCAATGACATCTAATGATGGTGATGGTGATGGTTGTGTCCTACTCGCCGTCATATGTTCGTGTCCGCAGATGTAACATTCTTTGAAGATCAGTCATATTTTTCTTCTTCGGTGGTCCCAATGACATCTAGTGATGGTGATGGTGATGGTTGTGTCCTACCGACACTTCCACCACCTTCCATTTCTCCAGCTACATCCACAGAATTTCAGTTTGCTGAACGCACATATCATCGACGCAGTACCGTTCCGACTATGACAGTAACGTCTTCATCAGAACCTGATTCATTTGTTCCCCCATCAGTTACAGTACCAGCCTCTGATCCTGATCAGCCCATTGCTTCTCGGAAAGGTACACGTTCCTGTGTTGATTGTTCTGTTGATCGGTATGCTCCTTATTCCGGTCTTTCTGATTGTGTCCGTACACGTCATCCTATTTCTAATTTTCTATCCTATGATCGTTTATCTCCCACCTTCTCTGCATTTGTCTCGTCGTTGTCTTCTATTTCTGTGCCTAGCAGTGTTGCTGAAGCTCTTGCTCATCCGGGTTGGCGTCGTGCTATGGAGGATGAAATGACAGCACTTATGGAGAACCGAACTTGGGAGCTTACTTCCTTACCTATTGATAAGAAACTTGTTGGTTGTCGTTGGGTTTTTACTGTTAAAGTTCACCCGGACGACACTCTTGATCGATTGAAGACATGGTTAGTTGCGAAGGGGTATACTCAAACTTATGGTGTCGACTATGATGACACCTTCTCTCTAGTAGCCAAAATACCATATGTTCATGTCTTTATTTCATTGGCTGCGCGATTTGGCTGGCTCCTTCATCAGTTGGATGTGAAAAATGCTTTCTTACATGGTGATCTGGTTGAGGAGGTCTACATGGAGCAACCACCTGGGTTTGTTGCTCAGGGGGAGAATGTGGCATGTCGTTTACACAAGGCTTTGTATGGACTTAAACAATCTCCTCGTGCTTGGTTTGGTAGATTTAGTGATGCGGTTATCAAATTTGGATTAAAGCGGTGTCAGGTAGATCATTCAGTTTTCAGCTCTGTCTCTTCAGCTGGTTGTATCCTTCTAGTTGTATATGTGGATGATATCATCATTACTGGCAGTGATTCAGGTGGTATTCAAAAACTTAAGCAATTCCTACATGTAGAATTCAGTACTAAAGATCTGGGACGTCTTCGATATTTTCTTAGTGTTGAAGTATCCTACTCACATGCTGGTATCAATTTATCGCAACGGAAGTATGTACTTGACATTTTTAGTGAGTTTGGATTTCTTGGAGCAAAGCCAGTTGATACCCCTATGGATCCCAATGTAAAACTTGACGTAGAATATGGAGAATTATTACATGATTTAGCGAAGTATAGGAGATTAGTTGGTAAGTTAAATTATCTTACCATCACAAGACCTGATATATCCTTCGCCGTTAGTGTAGTAAGCCAATTCATGAGTTCTCCGCGTACTACTCATTGGGATGCTGTGCTTCGAATTGTCAAATATTTGAAGGGAGCACTAGGTATTTTAAGAATTATGGTCATCTAAACACTGCAGGCTTCTCTGATGCCGACTGGGCTGGATGTCCTATGGATAGGAGATCTACTTCATGCTATTGTGTGTTTCTGGGAGACAATTTAATTGCGTGGAAAAGCAAGAAACAGCATGTTGTTTCCCGATCAAGTGCTGAAGCTGAATATCGAGCTATGGCACATGTGACAAGTGAATTAGTATGGTTGAGGATGTTACTATCAGAGATTGGAATGTCACCGTCAACTCCATCGGTGCTGTATTGTGATAATCAATCCGCTATTCATATTGCATCTAATCCCGTCTTCCATGAACGGACTAAGCACATTGAGGTTGATTGTCATTTTGTGCGAGAAAAAGTTCAAAAAGGCGAGATTATTCTTCAGCACACAAAGACGGAAGATCAACTAGCAGACATTTTTACTAAATCTTTACGGGGGAATAGAGTGAGCTTCTTATGTAACAAGTTGGGATTATTTGATATCTATATCCCAACTTGAGGGGGAGTGTTGAGAAATATTGTGAGTATTAAGGGTAGAATAGTAATCTAGTTTGTGAGTAGGGTTAAGCACGTATATATATTTGTAACCCTATAATCACAATAAATATAAGAAATTCTATTCTCTCTTTTCACACTTGAACAGATTCCACAACTTGATGGATTTATCATTTCCCCCCGGAGATTATGAGCTTCCCCCGCTCACCAAACATTGAAAATGCCCTAAAAATGTAGACCGGTCATTCAATATGCATAGATTTTAATTCTGGTGTAGCTAAATTAGGTCAGCCACTTACACACAAGAAACAGCAGCAGTATGACCGCCCAAAGTGTAAACCAAGTGTAATCTCCCCCGACTATCGGTATTTTCTGCATCGTTTGATCTGGAGTGAGATCCTTTTCGGGGTTTAACAGTACTTTTTGTCCTGTTAGCAGCCAGTTCAGATTCAATGTTCATTACATCGATGCCACCATCACCCCGTGCCACAACACAGATTTTGCCTAACTTGTCCAGCATATCAACATCTGGAACAGCTATTGAATGAACAAAAGCAGGATTGAAGCATTGCCCTGTGCGCTTGCCACTTTTCATTTCAGGCGACCCTGCAGTAAAGAAAATGAAATAGGAATCCTATTTTAGATCACTCAAACCACAACGGCACTAGATGGACTCCAAAAAAATAGAAACGATGCTGCTGTACTGGAAAGCAATTATCTGAAGTTGTCCTACAGTACTTTCCCAAGAAAAAGTGATTCTACAGGAAAAGAATTATGCGAAGTTGCTTATAATAATTAAGAGCTGATCTAGTTCTCTAGTTCTGGAAATCTAATCCAGAAAATGTCAATCCAACATGTGAAAGAAGGTCTATAGGAAAAATCTCAACAAAAGAAAAAGAATAAAAAGAGATGATGCGTGATAAGTCTGTCTAGGTGTAACTTCAGCCCACATTCTGGGAAAATCAACACGGTGAAATCAACTAATGATGAAGAATGACAAGAGACAACAATCATTAGCATCCCAAAAATGTAACATACAAGAGTAGCCGCTCATTCACCAAGTTATGCAACCTTTCAGACTTGAAATGCGCTTGCAGGAACTACTATAGTACATAAATGGAGCAAACTCAAAATTCCAGTTCTCAAGAAAGAGTTCCAGATGAAATCGTACAAAAAAAATCTCGAGACACTATGAAATGGCCACCACTATCCTTTATGTAAGTCAAAACCCATCTGAAAAGAGGGTTGCTAAGGGTTTGAGTAACAAGCCCAACATATTGAACACAATCTGATCAACCTAATTTAAAGATACTTACCCATGAATAAACTGTAAACCATCTCCATAAAAACTTACCTAAGTCTACAGCTTTGAAAGGTCTCCCTTTGGAGAAGTCCCACATCACTAGCTTTGAATCAAGGCCTCCAGTGATGACTGTAAGAAAAGAAAAAAACAAAAAGACAAATCGATGTATAGATATCATTGTAAAAAGAAGTCAAAATGTGGGTTTGTCTAGTTGAGAAAAACATTAATTAGCAACCCTTATTACATCATTGCTGACTTTGAAACTTCTTGAGGATTCTTAAAAGTGCATTAACATAAGTTCTCTAGCTTTAGGTTGTACTTCATAATGTAACCACATATAAAATCAGTAGCTAAAGTATTACTTAAGAAGCTTGTGGTTAGAATTTCGCAGAAAAGTTATTTAAATGAAAATGTACTCATCGTCCGGCATGGTCCATAGTCCTGGAGAAAAAAATAAACCAGTAAATAGGTACGGGTTCCAAGGATCGAATGATCTGTATCCAGTGCACAACTAGATCAGGAATTGAAATTTTATTTGCTGTCAACTAAAGTATGATTAACAAAATAAAGAAAATCCTACAGAATCTGCAGGAGCATCCTGATTGTATCAATTGAAGTAAGGACAATTAATGACTTCAAGACAAAGATGTGGAAGAAGTTTCGCATAAAAGCAAATTAAAGTGCACCAGAATCTGCAGTTTAAAATCATAACTTGAATCTCAAAACAACACGAAGCAAAAAACATGTCCACGATTACAAATTTCTATTTTTTTTGGGAAGGTTAATGTCCACGATGACAGATTTCTTCAATAACATGACTCCATAATCTTTCAAAATCTACCACCCAATATCATATCACAGACCTATCAAATAAATGTCATGATCGTACATTAAATTTTTACTAACCTTAGGATTAGTAGCTTGTGGCCAACAAAAAAAGAAAAGCATAGGTAGCCAACTACAACGGTAATAGTATACCTTCCCAAGGTTTCCAAGGGAGGAACTGCACGCTGCTACAAATCTACACTCTAGAGTCAAGGACCAGAAAGCATTACTAGAAAATGGAATTAAATTATCAGCAAATGCAACACAAAACCAAATTAAATTCAAACTGGGCAATGAAAGGCTATTAAGCTGCGAATGCTACAAATAAATTTTCCAACTCACGGTATTCCCCATATTCAGCATACATGACAGAAATGATATGCTAAGAAAAAACTGAGAAGGATACACTTGAATGGCCATTTCTTAGTGTTTTGTAAAGACATTGTTGACGAATATCAATAATCTGATGCACCAAAAAAAAGGAATAAGCTAAAAAGCAGGAAAAGTAGAATGACCACAGCAACATCAAGAATTTACTGCATTCTTTAGAGATGTAGGCTCTTATCAACCACAGTCATATGTACAATATGCATTAAAATGCGAAATGACAGATGCCATATATTATGGCAAAAATTCTCATCAACCATAGTGGACACTGTCTTATCAGCATTTGTACCTTTATCTCGCCACCATCATCTGCTGCAGCAAGGAATGACTTCGAGCTGCATACAATCTGCACAAGGCAACACACACCTGTGTTATTTTAAAGGTTCAGCACAAAATACTCATTTAAGAGGAGTAAACAACATGCTATAAGAATCAGAGATGCTTATTATGAAGAGTCAAAGATCAAACTTCAGCCATCTCAAGCAAATTTGCAAGTAAAGTCTCATAAGTTAACGACAACAGTCAAAAATCATAGATTTCCTTCTTTCAATTAATTGGATTCTCTTCATAAATGTTGGGCGTACGATCATATCTTTAATTCTCAAACGGAAAAATTGAACCGTATTGATTTGTAAAGAAGCACTGAAGTATTTTCATGGCCCTAAAGCATGAGAAACATAATGAAATGCATTTAGAAAGATCACTATAACTAAATAATGCCCATTATATACCGACATAAGGTCATTTAAGATCAAGAGAAACCGCAACTATCTACCTGGTTTATTTCTTCTTTGTTGTAATCATAACACTCCAATGGCGTCCATGAGGTACCCTTCAGCGTAAATGAAGGAGCCGATTGTTAACAACATTGATGCAGTAACAGGGGTTCAAGATAGGGCAAAGGTGAATATGATACAGGGAAAATAACGAGATGTAAATCGCAAGACCGACATTACCAGACGAACATCGAAGCACTTGACTTCCTTTCCGGACGAAACATATATAACATCTTCATTACCTATCAAAGCCCAAAACTTTTAAATCACAATGAGTTCAGCTAACACTGGAAATTGCTAGTTTCAACATAACTGCACGTACAATCGTGGGCACCATATTAACTTCAAACGACACAAGCCCATATATCCGAAACGACCCTTTTGTTCGGAAATTAAAGGGAGAGACAATTTCCAAACAGAAGAATACCAAGCAGCAAACACAAAACACAGAGAGAGGGAACTGACCAGGCTTAAAACACAGGGACGAAACATATATTATTTCGCCGGAAGTGGCGACGAGGCCAGGGCGGTCGCGGGAGGCGATGCAGCACGTGGCCGTCGCTCTGTGGCCCCCCAGCCGTCGTGGCTCCGTCGCGGAGCTCATATCTTCTTATTCTTCTTCTTCACACTTCTCGTTTCTCGTTCTCTGCTGCGAAAGGGGTAGCGGGGGTTTCTCCCTGGTTCAGACAAACTGCAAAACAGAGTGGGCTGGGCTGGCATGGGCTTATGAGATTTACTGAACATGGGCTTGAAGTACTTGCTTGACTTATGGAAAGAATTTAGGAAAAATACTACTAAAAACCTCAAACTATATCACTTGTGACAAATTTACCCTGAATTTTTTTTTTGTGATACGAAAAATCCCAAACTATATCACATGTGATACATTTACCCCATAATACTTTGGCCCAGGGGCATTTTCGTCTTTTTCCCTTTTTTTTTTTTTTCTTTTTTTCTTTCTTCCCCGGCGAGGGCGACCCTTGCCAGCATTGGGCGAGCGTTGCCCTAGCTTGGGCGGGCGAGGGCAGCCCTCGCTTGAGTCGGGCGAAGTCACCCTCGCCAGATCCGGCGAGGGCCACCCTCGCCCGACGCCAAATCCGGTGAGGGCGACCCTCGCTGGCGTTAGGCGAGGCTGCCCTCGCCCGCCCAGGCGAGGGCGACTCTCACCCGACGCCGGCGAGGGTCACCCTCACCGGATCTGACGAAGGCAACCCTCGCCAGGGAAGAGAGAAAAAAAGACAAAAATGTCCATGGGCAACAGTACTGTGGGGTAAATTTATCACAGGTGGCATTGTTTAAGGTTTTTTGTGTCACAAAAAAAAGTTTAGGGTAAATTTGTCACAAGTAGCATAGTTTTGGATTTTTTATGGTATTTTCCCAAGAATTTAATCAAACTTTGGAAAAAACTATTACGAGTTTTGGTCTCCATATCAATTTACATCCTCACTTTTGTCTGAGTTCCATCACTATCTAGTTCTGTTTGCGAATTTGCCATTTTCCTTTCAATCTTATCCCTTCTCTCCATTTCAAATCCACCCGGGACGCCCACAACGAAGAAACCCGATTATCCAAAACCCTAAATCACTCGCCCCACTGCTCATCCTCTCTCCTCTCTGGCATCACCAAAAGTCGGTCGGTGAACCCAGGACCGAACTAGTTCCCCCATAGATTTGGCCTCGAACTAGTCGGTCCAAGTTGGTTTGGTTCGGTATTTCGGGATGAATCGGACCCGATGCTCAACCCTAAACAAATAGGAAAGTACAACAATATTTGATTTATGAAAAATTAATGATTTGAAAACTATTTTCTTAAAAATTATTGCTTGCATCCATAGAACAATTAGTAAATTTTTTTTAATCGACAATCTATGACTAAATTTTTTTGTTGGTAATGAAAATATCTTCAATTCATTCATTTTTTGTACAGAAAAATATTTTCCAAACCGTTTATTTTTCACAAAGCAAGCCTACCAAAGTTTTTCTTTGTCCAGCGAAAAAAGAACGAGTGAGATTAGGAAAGATATCGACATGCAATGTAAAAAAGAGTTTTATATTTGAAATACCGATAACCTTGTTTAATTTGCACTTCTTTATGAGAGTATGAATTCCATGATTATTTGTCTACAAAGTCTCACCTTCTGAACATAGTTTATGTAATGATTCTTTTTTTATGTACCAAAATAAAAGCCGGAAGAGGAAATTGAAAGCAATTTGATACCGCCCAAAAAACTCATTCCATTTTGACAAAGATGGACAGAAAAGAGATTTTTTCTTATCAAGAATTAGAATTCGACGACATCTTGCAGTCTTCCAGTCAACGACACCGAGTGACAATTCGTCAGTCAAAAGGTCAATCTCTCCTCCACATTTGTACTCTCATCACTAGACTCTCGTACACTACTACTACTTGACAGCGCAAGCTACTGCAATGGCCCATGACCTGAGATGCTCTCTCATGGCGACCCCATCGCTCAGCGGAGGCAGCATCTTCTTCTTCATCGTTTGGATTTCGCTCGCAGCTCCAAACCCTTGACGATAATTCCAAAGGAAGCGATTCTCCTCAAACCCAGAAAGATCCTTCCCATCACAACCCAGATCAAGCTCCCCATGAAACGTTCTCCTGCTCCTCTGCCTCCTCTTGCTTCTCCTCATCCTCTCTTTGAGCGTCGACTCTTCCTCCGCCGACTCTGGAGTCCCCGCAGCTTCCACGGCTGAAGACTTCATCCCTCCTAGCTCCGCAGCTCCAGCGTCCAGGTTTCCACACCCGGGGCATCTCGGGAGCGAATTTTCACCACTTTGAGCGACGGGCTTGGCTCGTGCTGCTTCTGCTTCGTCTTCAGGTTCACCCGCCTGGTTCTTGACGGGCTCTCCTCCTCCTCCTCCTCCTTTCTCGTCCGTTTCTTCCGCTTCCGCAGCAGAAGGCGAAGGCCGAGCTCCAGAGAGGACGCTGCCGAAGAACCAGAGAGAGTCCAAGCTCTCCACACCCCACGAACCCTCCATCGGAGGAGCTGCTGTCAAAGAGAGGTCGCGCTCACCCCCTCGCTCGCTGCCCCCGTGAGCGCATGAAAAGGGCAGGGAAGATCCACCCAATCCAAGAAAAAGCTGACCTACGCTGCGCACTTTTTGCCTCGGACAACACCGAAGCGGCGACTGCGGGATTCTCGTTGGCCGCGGCCGAATGACGGAAGTAGCCTCCGCTCCAAGGCCGTGACGCCAACGTGGGAGGGGAGGACGGGGGGGCCCCATCGCGGGGGCGGTTTCGTCTTTTCGGAGGAAAACTGGTGGCGGGAGGGAAGCCGGGGGGTGATTCTTCGGGGGCCGTGATTGTCGCTTTCCTCCTTGAACTGTGAGTGGTGCGTGCGGCCCACGCGCTGCAGGTGAAGGTGACGTGGTGGCGCCTTCGTGGCGAGTGGGAGGAACGTAGGGGGCGAATTAGAGATGGAAATTACCCGCAACGGTCGACTACAACGTGGGTACAGCCGTACAGGTGATTATTGCTTATTAGCGTCATTACTCATTACCATATTCAAACTGAAATATAGTTTCAAATTGACACATATGGCAGGTATAGGACCTTAGATAGATTACAATTTAAACTCACGGATTAAGCTTGCACTTTCGAATTAACAGAGTCTGATTGAATCGACACAAATTCGTATTCGAATTGACTGCGGTCGATAATCGACGCAAGCTCTCTCTAGAAGGAAAAAGAAGGAATTTCATGGAGCGTTTTATAAGCTCTGACTCGATCGAAAATTTTGATTCAGTTCAAGTTCGAGTTCGAACGCGGGTTTTGTTAGTACAACGAAACTAGGAATGTGTTACAGTTTCGAAAACCTAAACATAGTTAAGATATCGAAAATCAATTATGCTCACAAGTCATGAGTTGTTGGAATGAAAAATTTTGTTTTCATACTTGTAGTTTGCCCGCGCCTCATATAAATATGGTCGATAGTCTCGGTTCGAAAGATTTAGGTCGATCAAGTGTAAAATCGAGAGAGTTTAGTTGCCTAGCTTTTAGAATTTGAAGTTGCACCTCATCTTTGTAAGAAAACATTATCACTTTTATAGACAATACTCAATCATCAAAACTGTATAATTAAAGAGTGCAATTCGATTAAATTTGATAATGGCCAGATTTGAAACGTTTATGTTAATAGATTTTATCATATTTAAACATTGGGCTATAAAAAAGAAAAGAAAGAAAATATTGACTAGGCTCCCAAATAGTAACTGTGATCCTCAAGATTATTCTGAGTGGGAGATGTACTTTTAATCTGATCATGAAATCCCGCATCCGAACCAATCGATTCGACACTAAACCAACCTCCTCAGGATTATCACTTCTATTTGAGCTGAGCTTCACCTGCAACAACTACTTTGAGAGGCATGATGTACACTTGCCAATGAAGAAGAGAGATTAGTTACTTCAAAAGGAGAGACTCTTGCATTGACTTGGGTCAATGTACCGAGTGCAATCACAGGCATTGATGATGTGAGCCTTGGGGCTGTCGCAAGCAATGGCAATGATGAATCTGGTCCATGAGGACGTGGATCTAGATAAGAATTTACCCCTCAAAATATATATGTTTTTGTTGCCAACAGAAAGAAATATGACTTACTTTACTCGTGAAGATGCATTATAAATGGAGAGAAATGTACGTAGGTATTTCGAACTCGCTTCTCTTGATTCCCGGAAAATAAAATGGAAGCAAGTATATCAAGATGGTTTCTACATGTCATTATAATTTGTCAGTGCTCGGGAAGAAGAAAAGAAGAAACCATAACTTGCACTGACTCTCTATCTCTCTTTAAGCCATCTACTTGTTGACGGTGGAGTGGGAATTACAGGGCAATTCTCCTTTGGCAGCACAGAAGCTATCTGATAAAGCTCAAGGGCTTTGCATGCAATGTCTCTCTTCTGCCAAAGGAGAACTGCCCTGTTATTTCACAACTCCATTATCTCTCTCTCTCTGCGCTTCAACTGGCTTAGCTCGGTTCTCGAGTTGGTCGAACCTCCTCCTTTATAACACCATTGTTCGCACAAACTTTCGGATATGCCGGGTAGATGGAACAGTATATGCCGGAACAATTCTTCCGTAAGTTCTTTTCGTACATGGTCCCAAATTCTTGACCCATCTTTTCCTCAAAGAAGCGAAAGGAGAAGTCGACGTCAAGATGGATATTTTTCTCTCGTCATCAGAAATGCTCTCTTTTACGTGCCATTGCAGGGAGAGATATTGACAGAGAGAGAGAGGGCAATATATGAAGTGGAAGACTTTATTGCTTGTTGATTCTAGAGATATCATGTTGTGGCTAGGATTGTTTTCGTTTAATTTGGATTCAACTCCAAGTGGCCATAGCCTCATAGATTTATATTATTGCGTTCTTAAAGTTACGGATTGTTTTTTCGTACCGGTAAATTTCTACGAGTGTTGATAAGTGTAAAAAAATTAGTGGTAAAAAAACGAAGATAAGTCACTTTTGTTTCAAAATAGTTCCGCTACATTTTTGAAAAACTCACCGATCGTTATTAGAGTTCGTATAATTAAGTCCCAGAGAGAGAGAGAGAGTACCATTATTGGTTACGATTTGCAAAACTAGTGAGGTCGGCTAGTAGAGGTGGGAAATGGGTGAATCAGGT